TCTTTCCCAAATGCATCCTGGGTGAAGGGCAGTCTTCTGGAGGGTGGTATCACCTATTCATGTGGTTTTAGAAAAAAACGTAAGAAGTTGCTGTTGGGGACAAGGTGTATGAGTATGAAATAGCCAGTCTAAGCCTCAGTAGCCCCTTATGCCGTGTAGTCCCAAGGGCACTGCCCCAGCAGGGGAGACCCACCATGAGCTAAACAACTGTAGAGATACCAGGTGCCGTCCTCTGCTGTGGAAATAAAAACCATCTCCCCCGTAGATCTTTGCCCAGCGAGATCATGTGATGGTAATTTAGGAAGCTGGTTTTCCAGATGCTAAGCTAGATTTATAGAGCTATTTTTCTAAATATCCTCCCTGGCACCTCTCTGACCTTTCTTACTTTCAAATCTGAGGCACTGAGGCCTTGTAAGAGGTGACTAACCATGCTGCAGTATTTTTAGAAGAAGCTGAGAGTGGGGCTCTTTACGGTTGTCTTTGTCTTGTTTCAGCTCAGTCACCCAGAGATCGTGGAAGGTCTCGTGCTCATTAACGTTGACCCTTGTGCCAAAGGCTGGATTGACTGGGCAGCTTCCAAAGTAAGACCAGTGTCCATTGGCTCATCTCTTGGTCCCTTCTCAAAATGGCTTATCTGGTTTTTATTTTTATTTTTTCATTCATACAGTCAAGGGCAAGAAGTTTTAAGTATACAGCTTGATAAATGTTTACACATGTAATCACCACTTAGTCAATATACAGAATATTTCCAGCTCTGTGCTTAATACTTCCTCCCTTTCCCAGAAATAACTGTTATTCTGACTTCTACCACCATAGATTGGTTTTATATATTCTTAAACTTCATATCCTTGGAATAATAGAATATATATTCTTGTGTATCTTGCTTCTTTGATTCATCATTGTCTGTGAGTCTCAGTCACGAATGGAATACTATGCAACCAAAAACTTACGGGTTTTTTTTGGTTATTTAAGGAAATGTGAAAATTCTCATGTTTAAAAGAACAGATAATAAAATTTTGTTAAATACATATGTGCATTTATAAGGAAAATAATTTGCTACCGCTAGTTACATCTTCGGCTGGTAGCATTACAGATGATTCTTATTTTTATTTTATGTAGTCTATGTTTTCCTAATTTTCTATGATAAACATGTATTGCTTTCATAGTTACTTTAAAATATTAAACTATTCCACCTGCCAGCAGACCAGATTCTAAAAAGTTTATCCATTCCTCCCCACATTTAACTTCTGGAGAAATGATGTATTTCCTAGCTTTGGATGAAATATATTAACAGTGCTATTGCCAGATGCTATGGAAATTCTTTCTTATAACCTGACTTATTTAAAATTTGTTTTAATGCCTATCTTGGATGTGGGTACATTAAAACTTACCTGAACACTCTTCATAACGTGATACAACCTAGTAAAAATTCTTATAAAGCTTTAGAATGACCTTATGAGTATTAAACAGGAAATGAAATAGGTTATTAATTCTTATTATCTTTAATGTATAACCTGTGGATCACTGATAACCCATGTGAAGATTTCTGGGCTTCTTTCTTCCTTAATCTTTCTGGGACTACATGACCCTGCTCCACCCATATCCACATCTGTCCCCCTGATTTCCTCTTGTCCATCTCCACCCCCAACTCAGTACTTTGCTTCTGATCCAAGTCAGCAGTAGGAATTGAGCATAAAAGCAACAAAGAAGGAAGGCTTAAGGGAATCAGCAACGTAATTTGAGATGGAAATTTTTCTGAAAATAGACTAACAGTCTGCAGATTTACACAGATTGGTGCATTTATTAGACTGTGATGTGCATAGTTTTGAAATGGGAAAAATTAGGAGAAAAATGTTCAAAATGCAAGAACATTCTGTAAACATAGCAATTTCCTCCCACTACTTGAAATGAAGATAGCAAAACTAAAAGAAAGAAAAAAAATCGTTTTTTCTTTTGGATGGCTTGGGAGTAGTTGTAAGTCGTTCCTTATTAACTGTAAACCCAGTGTAACTGCAGAAATACAGGCAGAAATGAAGCAGCTAATAGCTGTGAGTTCTCGGTCCCACGTTTTCGAAGAAGCAATGGCAGCATTTCTTCTAGCCGCCTATTTCAAAGCAGGCTATATTATTACCCTGGAAGGAAAACTTTTCGTTTTTTTCTGACTTGTTTCTTGTTCTCAGGTTTCCTGGGACCACCATCTCCTGAAAATGTGTGACACTGAGTTGTGTTGTTTATTTGTTGAAGGATAACATATATACAAGAAAGTGCACCAGTGAAGTGGACAGCTTGATAAATTTTTACCCATGCTAACTCCCTTGACACCAAGTTTTTATCTTTGTAGCTCTCGGGCTTGACAACCAATGTTGTGGACATAATTTTGGCTCATCACTTTGGGCAGGTAAGTGCCTGTGCCAGCCAGGAGAGGCGTGTGTTTACTGGCTTGTGTGCAAAGTCTTACTCACCTCAGGAAAGAAGGGGTGCCCCAGAACTCACCTGATCCCCGTGGGTTACCACTTTCAGTGCTGTGTGAGATGCACGTGGCCAGCAAAGGCCAGTCTTAGGGGAGAGGAATGAACTCAGTGCCACGTGGCTCTTGGCATTTGGAGAGAGGAGAGAAGGCAGCCCCTACCGCCCACCTGTTCCCTGTGAGCAGATGCCATCTGTTCATGTTTGACAACATCATGTGCCTCACCAAGCATCTCTGGAGCCAAATGAGGGAAGGGCTTCACAGAAATAGAAGTTTCAGAGAAAAAGAAACCAAGAATGTTAGTGCTGAAAGAACCTTAGAGATTATCTTGTTCAAACCCCATGTCTTACTGGTGAGGAAACAAGTCCACGGAGAAAATGACAATTATATGGATAATTGTTACGTGAAAGAGGGGATCCCAGTCCTCTTTTCAGAGAGAAAGTGAGCTGGATAACAGAAGTCTTACACCAATTACAATGTGTGTTTTCTCCTACACCACCAAACAATTCTCAGACACCAGCTGGGTGTCCTGCAGTTCAGCTCAATGATGCCACTGTCTACCTGGAGATAGGTCAGATCCAAAAGGTGAGGGCTCAGCCCTAACCACCAAGCCACCACCACTGCTCCCCCTTCCCCCACTTCAGCCACCAGTTGCCACTCCAGGTTGTCAAGAATCAGGGCTTGCCATACAGAAGGCCCGGTGACACTCATCTCAGCAATCTTCAGGGCACACTTTCTCCATCCTGTGGGCTGTTTCCAGGGTCCAGTCAGGAGACAGAAACCACACACTTCGAGTTGAGAAAATTTAACATAAAATATTGTTAACTAGTAGAAGGTTGCTTACTTAAAGAGGTGAAAGAGAACTCTCAGGTGTCCAAAAGTAGCAGGTGGAAACCAGCAGCTACTCCTAGGCAGAGGACATGTGGACACTCAGGGAACTAAGGACTTAGTTGGGCCCACCCCCACCAAGCCTGAGAGTCATGCCTCTTCAAGGAAGGTAAGGTTTCCAGAGAAAGTACAACCGGCCAGGAGTGAAAAAACTTGCCAGAGGGTGAGGGCCGTTAACTGGTCCATAGAGCCACTCACCAGATGAGGGAGACATTTGTCTAAAATAAGGTCTGAACAGCTGCAGAAGCTCCAGAAGCTGCAGCTGGATGGGGGAGAACCTGGGCCTCGGGTGCAGCTACAGCTTTTCTACGAGAATTCCTGACACCTTGAGCCAGTGGCTCCTGTGCTAAATTTTAAAAAGGGACTGGCAAATGGAAAATGTTTATGCATTCTAGCTCCAGTACTACAACGAACAGTGGATCTGAGGCTGAGGATAACTGGCACAGGTTCTTTGCCCAATGGCTAGTGATCCCTGTCTGTCCGAATTTTATAAGGGTGGATCACTGAAAGGCCTGTGTGCACCAGGTGAGGCTTATCCCTTGGGTGATTAGACTGGGCCATTTCCTTGGGGAGCCCCTGATGTCAGCAGCTTTAGGTCTTTTCTCTGGGACTGGTCAGATTCCCCAGATAAGCTTTGAGGTTACACACCAGACACTAATGTTAGTATTCTTGGAGCCAAGTTCAGAAAAAGACAGAGAGCCTCAACGTTCAGGCTTTAAACTTTCACTTTTCAGTATTGTGTATCTACCCATCTGGGCCTGTGGTCTTCCAGATCAAAGACCTTGTGTTTTATCGTTTCCAGAGAATAGACCTTCAGTCTTCTTCTGAGGTGGGAAAAGGGAAGTCCCCCAGAATGCAGGGGAGGGATCTGCTTTATGCTTTGTTCCCACTGGACCACAGGTGCAGATAATTAGAATGATCATAGTCTTTAGTTTGTAATACACCCTCATCATTCATTGGTCCATGCACATAACCCACTTTTATTTAGTTAATTAGCTAGTTATTTTTAATAATGTAATAAGCACCCACGATATTACCACCCAAAGCAAAAGCTAGGGTTTGACAGTAACCTGCATCTAACCAAATGATACTCTGAATTAACCTGTCCCCCTTCTTTTGTCACCCTGAGGAAACTATCATCTTTTATCAGTCCTTTGTTTTTCTTTATAATAGTCTTACTGAATTTATATGTGTTCTTTTACATTATGTACATATTTCTAATTATAAAAGGGTATTATGCTGATGTAATTTGGGGAACTTTTTTCACTTAAAATTGCCAAGATTGGGCTTCCCTGGTGGCGCAGTGGTTGAGAGTCCGCCTGCCGATGCGGGGGACACAGGTTCGTGCCCCGGTCCGGGAAGATCCCACATGCTGCGGAGCAGCTGGGCCCATGAGCCATGGCCGCTGAGCCTGTGCGTCCGGAGCTTGTGCTCCGCAACGGGAGAGGGCACAGCAGCAAGAGGCCCGCGTACCGCAAAAAAAAAAAAAAAAAAAATTGCCAAGATTTATCCACATTACTGCTGGATGACTGTGAACAGTTTGGTATATGCCTCCTGCTTTATTTGTACAAAAGTCCATCTTGGGTGTAAGTTTAGGAGTGGAATTGCTGGGTCTTAAGTGTTCATGTATCATAAAATTCACACTTTTAAGGTTTAGTGGTTTTTAGTATATTTCTGGAGCTGTGTAACATTGCACTATCTCATTTCAGAACATTTCCAGCACCCCAGAAAGAAACACCACCCCCCTTAACAGCCACGCCGTATTCTCCTCCCCCCTGTACCTGGCAACCGCTATCCTACTTTCTGTCTCTGTGGATTTGCCTATTCTGGACATTTCTTAAATGGAATCATATAATATGTGGCATCTGTGTCTGACTTCTTTCACTTAGCATGTTTTTGAAGTTCATCCGTGTTACATCATGTAGCAATATTTCATTCCTTTTTATGGCTGAATAATATTTCAGTGTATGGGTATATACCACATCTGGTTTATTAGTTGATGGACATTTAGGTGCTTTCCACCTTTGGGCTATTGTGAAAAATGTTGCTGTGAACATTCATATACCAGTTTCTACATGGACATACGTTTTCAGTTTTCTTGAGTATATACCTAAGAGTGGAATTGCTGGGTCACATGGTAGCTGTGTTTAACATTTTGAGAAACTGCCAGACTATTTTCCAAAACGTCTGCACCATTTACAGTCATACCAGCAAAGCATGAGCGTTCCAGCTTCTCCACGTCTTTGCCAACATTTGATGTTGTCTGACTTTTTGATTATAGCCATCCTAGTGGGTGTGAATTAGTGTCTCATTATGGTTTTGATTTGCATTTGTTTATCTTCTTTGGAGAAGTGTCTATTAAAATCTTTTACCCATTTTTTAGTTGGGTTATTTATCATTTTATTATCAAGTTGAAGATTTCTTTATATGTTCTTGATACAGATCTTTAGATATATGAAATGCAAATATTTTCTTGCATTTTGTGGGTTGTCTTTAACTTTCTTTTTTTTTTTTTTTTTTTTCCCACTGTTGTGGCCTCTCCCATTCGCGGAGCACAGGCTCCGGACGCGCAGGCCCAGCGGCCATGGCTCACGGGCCCAGCCGCTCCGCGGCACGCGGGATCCTCCCGAAACGGGGCACGAACCCGCGTCTCCTGCATCGGCAGGCGGACTCCCAAGCACTGCGCCACCAGGGAAGCCCTTTAACTTTCTTGATGGTGTCCTTTGAAGCACAAAAGTTTTTATCTATTTATTTTTGTTTGTTTAACCTAATGAAAGCATCTTTTTTTGTTTTGTTTACATTTTATTGGGGTATAGTGTTGATTTACAATGTTGTGGTAGTTTCAGGTGTACAGCAAAGTGAGTCTGTTATACATATATCCACTCTTTTTTAGATTCTCTTCCCATATAGGCCATTACAGAGTATTGAGTAGAGTTCCCTGAGCTATATAGTAGGTCCTTATTAGTTATCTATTTTATATGTAGTACTGCGTATGTGTCAATCCCAGTCTTCCACTTTATTCCTCCCCCCACTTATCCCCCCAGTAAGCATAAGTTTATTTTCTACATGAAGCACAAAAGTTTTAATTTTGATGAAATCCAATCTATTTTTGCTTTTGTTGCTTGCACTTTTAGTGTCATATCTAAGAAACCATTGCTTAATCCAAAGTCATGAAGATTTACTCCTTTCCTTTCTCGTAAGATTTTTATAGTTTTAGCTCTTAACATTTAGCTCTGTGGTCTATTTTGAGCTAATTGTTTGTACATGGTGTGAGGTTGGAGTACCAGTTCATTCTTTTATATGTGAAAGTCCAGTTGTCCCAGTACCATTTTAAAAAAGACTTCTTTGTCCAATGAATTGTCTGGGCTCCCTTGTTGAAAACCAGTTGACCATAAACGTAAGGGTTTATTTTGGAAGGCTCATTTTTATCCTATTGATATTTGTCTAGCCTTATGCCAGTATCACAGTGTCTTGATTACTGTATCTTTGTAGTAAGGTTTGAAATATAGGGAAGTGTGAGTCCTCCAACTTCGTTCTTTATCAAGATTGTTTTGGCTGTTTTGGATTCCTTCCGTTTCCATATGAATTTTAGGGTCAGCTCATCCATTTCTGCAAAAGAGCTAACTGGGATTTTGATAAGGATTGTGTTGAATCTGTAGATCAATTTAGGGAGCTTTGCTATCTTAACAATACTGTTTCAATCCATGCACATGGAGTGCCTATCCAGTTATTTGGGCCTTTTAAAATTTCTTTCGGCGACGTTTTGTAGTGAAGTCTTCCCACTTCTTTTGTTATATTTTTTCCTAAGTATTTTATTTTGGGGGTGCTACTATAAGTGCAAAGCTTTCTTAATTTCATTTTTGAATTGTTTATTGCTAATGTATAGAAATACAATTAAGTTTTGTATATTGATCTTGTATCCTTCAACCTTGCCGAACTAATTTATTAGCTCTAATTGTTTTTTTGTGGATCCTTAGGATTTTCTACCTACAAGATCATGTCATCTGCAATACACATAGTTTTACTTCTTCCTGTCCAGGCTG